ACCCCCCGGGAGGTCCCGCCGGGGCGGGGGAAAGGGCCGCAGCCCCGGCCGGTGGCAAGAGCAGGGGGTCGGTGGTTGGGGGGGGAACCGGGGAGGGCCACGGCCCAGACCGCACAACGGTGGGAAGCGTGAGCCCGCCTGCCACGCTGGGCCGCCATCGCAGCGCTTCGGGAAGCGTGAGGAGGAGAGGCACCGCCGCGAGCCTTCACGTGGCACACACATATTAAAAAAGGGACTGGAAATAGCTGGCGGTGTCCCTCTGAGGACGTGATCGAGGACGACTCGTCGCTACGCGGGCCAGTTGCAGAGAAGTCAGCGCTTGGATTTCTCACAGAAAAACACGAGTCCTCTCAGCACCTCTTGGCAGCTCCTGCAGCTTCTCCAGAGTATATTTAATACTGGTTTTATATGAAATGTGGTATTATGTATTCTGGAGAAGTGAGGACTGCTAAAGGAGGTGCCAGGACATCTGGCACGCGGGCCCGGACCGTGCCAGGACGGGAGGTGGCACGTGGTCTTGGTTGCACATCCCGCCTAGCGCTGCCGCAGCTGAAACCCCCTCAGCCACTGCTGAGCCCCAGAGGGTGACTCGAGGCCCGGGTCTGTCTGCCGGGCAGGCACGCCCCAGGGCTTGATGTAACCCTTCCCCAGAAATGGCTTTTGCTTGAAATACCTTAGCTGGCAATTTTGAAAAAAGATCTCTACTGAGCCCGCCTGCAGCTTCCTACCCTGCCTGCCCGTGGTTACGGCTCGGAGGAGTTGTTCTTGGCCGTCTTTGCATGAGCTATCGCTATGAAAGCAAGCTGGGAGAGCAGCCAGAGGAGGGAGAAGTGAATGGAGGGCAGGGAGCAGAAAGGGAAAAAGCCACATCCAGAGCGGCGTAAACAGCCAGCAGAGAAAGCTTTTTTTTTGAACTTTTCGGTCAGCCCATTGTCCTGCAATGAAAGTCCCTGCGGCCTCAGAGCGGAGATGTTTATCTGCTTCTACTTGCTGTATCTCAACGAGCAGGAAATGATAACAGCGGCGCTGAAATCATCTCCTCCACGTGGCCCCTCGAGGTCCAGGTCCAGCTCCTGCGTGGGAACCGCGAGAGCCTTGTCCCGGGAGGTCCCTCTCCTGCCCCGTGGGAGAAGCCCAGCCTCTGGAGGTGCCCAGGGCCCGCAGGGAGGTCGGCGTTTGGGAGCCCCAGTCCACCGATACCGGTTCCGAGTTACCAGCACCCAGCTAGGGGATCTCCTCGTAGAGACACTTTGGCAAGGCAGAGGGGTTTGGTAATTAACTCCGGGGCGGAAGCGGCAATTTTTAGCGTGGATGCTTCAGCCGAGGAAGTAATAACTGCCACATGATGGCATTGTCTGCTGCAGCAAGAGGCAGAGGCCCTTCCAGCTCAGGAAACTCCGCAGGAGCCTTCCCCGGGGGCAGAGCGCGGTGTGAGCTCCTTGGGGCGAGTGGGACCCTGTCAAAGAGCAGGAAAGGACGCGCGTCCGTTCCTCGTGGCCCCTGTCACCCTTGGGCTGGTGGGGCCACCGAGGGGCCCTGGCTGCGGGCCAGGAGTTGGGGACACCTTGGGTGTTGGGTTTTTTTGTTACCGGC